GCAAATAACAGCAGCTCTCATGTATTTAGTGCTTACTCTGTGCCAGGTAATTAACATAAATGGTCTCATCAGATCCATAGATCAAGCCTACAAATTAGGTATTATTATCTCTACTTTATGGATGATGAAACTGAGGCTCATGGTAACTTTTCCAAGGTCATGCAGCTGCTGGCAAGTGGCAGAGCTGGGATTCCAACACTAATCTGCTACTAGAACCTGACCATTTAACCATACATGAGCCTTAAAAAAAAAATTACACTGTGTCTATGTCCAGTGCTTTATCCAAAGTAATATTACTAAGTAACTAACACTTTGATTTGAATGGGTTTTTCAGATTGTTTTCCTCTAACCTAGCAGGTGCTAGGGCTTTATGAGGATCCATGAAATGAGAACAATAAATCAGGGGCACTTGGGTGGCTCAGTCGGTTGGGTGTCTGCCTTTGGCTCAGGTCATGATCTCGGGGTCCTGGGATCAAGCCCTGCATTGGGCTCCCTGCTCGGCGGGGAGTCTGCTTCTCCCTCTCCCTCTGCCTCTCTCCCCTGCTCATACTCTCTCTCTCTCTCTCTCTCTCTCTCTCTCTCACTCCCTCTTTCTCTGTTTGTCTCAAATAGGTAAATAAAATCTTTAAAAAAAGAGAGAACAATAAATCAGAATGGAGAGATTGGGGGGTGGGAAGCCAGTGAAAAAATTCCTAATTAGTCTCAGGATGATTCGGCAAGGATTATCACTTTGTACCTTTAAATTTTGACTTCTGAAATAAGGTTTTAGTGCCTGCATCTTTTACTTTTGCTGTCTTCCCAATGTTTGTTTCAGGAAAATGCTATTGGCTACAAATGCATATTGCTGGAACACACATTTGGGATAATTTTTCCAAATGTGGCCTTATTTGCCTAAGCAAAGGAAATCCTCTGGATTTCTCAGCAAGCCCGGGGGGGACCTAAAGCTCCCGGCACCCGTTGCTTTCTATTACCTTAAATATAGGTGCCTGGCAGGGGGATAGCAGGCTGCAGGGGATGTGGTTATGGCTGAAGCATTCCAGGATGGGGCCCACCAGAAACTTGTTAGGAAAGGTTGCCTGCAGCTTACAGTGGCTACAGTTGTCTCTGTACATCTTCTATAAAAAAAAAATGGATCATTCTATAAAAAATAAAGGTATTATGTTCATGAGTATCATATCAAATAGATTGGGTTATTAGCCATCTCTTGGCTAAGTCCAAGTGTTGAGACCATGCATTATTGGAGGTACCACCTTGAATAACAGGAATTTGATTACTCTCTGGTTTCTTGATCTCTGCATGTGCCTGGCTTTTTGTTCGAAAGTGATGTTGCCATTTTGTCCTTCAAATGATGCTTTCTGACCCAGGTATGTTTCAATGTATACTTCTAAGGACAAAATGCTTTGGAAGCCAGGTTTGTGTCTTGCAAGCACAGTAAATCTGAACTGATGATAGTCAACTTAACAACAGCATGAACCGCTAAATTGAACAAATTCGAAAATCACTGCTCCTGACCTAGACCTTGTTTTCTTGGATACCAAGCTCCAAGAAGCCTAAGGTAGAGCTAGCTAAATTTGCTGAATAACAAACAATCAATTGTCATTCATTTATTCATAATTCATTCAATCAGGTTCAGGTCTATGCCACAGGCAAAACTAATAGATTGAGTCATGAGTCGGTTCACCATTCTGGGCTGTGATGTCAACAAGGTCATCTGCCTGACAAAACTCCTGCCAATCCCATCATGCTTCTCTGGAGCTGTAGTCAGAAGCCGGGACAGAGGTTGTGGAGAGGGCCCTTTCTTCCCTCACCCTACCTTCTACCTCTTCTCGCTCTCATTTATTTGCAGCAGCTGCAACTGGAGACCTTTTGTGGCCAATACTCACAGAGTGTGCCTTTGACTTATGGGAAGGGGCAATTTCTACTGCTGAAGGGCACGGAAGGGCACAGTGTGGGTGAAACAGCAACACAAACTGGCCGGCACAGAAATCCAAGCCCTCACAGTGACAGTGGGCCGTGGTGACTGTTCTTCTACAACTGAACGCTACTGCTATGCTCTTTCCTTCAGCTTCAGGTCCCTCTACCATATTTTTGTGGCTCTGTGTGTGTGTGTGTGTGTGTGTATGTGTATGTGCATGCATTTGTGCACATGCGCACATGTAGTGTGTGTGTGTGTGTATGTGCATGCATTTGTGCACATGCGCACATGTAGTGTGTGTGTGTGTGTGTGTGTGTGTGTGTGCATGCACGTGCGTGCGTGTGCTATGTGGTGGAGGCTAGAGAATCCTGAAAAACAGGCTTCAGGTTTCAGGGTTTCAGTTGTCTTGGAGAGTTGCTGTCAGTCAGCTCTAACAGGGGTCACCCCAGGAACATAAAGGGCAGCATAGCCTGGCCAGCTGAAAACCCTGTGAGATGGGTCAACTCAGAGGTGAGGGTGTTGTTTTTTAATAGTTTCAATCTTTGCTCTTGGCTGTAGGTAGATACAGTCTCTTTCCCAGAAGGCTCTGTGCCTTTCAAAACAGAATACTAGCATTTTCTCTGCTTTCAGGGGCTTGCTGCCCTGTGGTTTTTTCTTTCTTTTTTTTTTTTTAACTCATTTGTTTTACTAGTATTGATTTTATACTCCACCTTCCAGCCTTAACTTATTGTCATAACCTACCAAAGCCCCAGAAAACAGGCAGGCTCTCACAGAAATCCTGAGGACAGTTAAATGGAGCATCTGAGAAAGTCAACAGGGAGAGTTAGTGAAAGCCCCTTAAGGGACCTCAGTGTGTGCTAGGGAACTAAGTGTGGATGTGCATGCCATCCGTTCGCCATGCCTCTTTCTACAGTGAGTGTTAAGGCAGGGCGGTGGAGAGAGATCATTGGACAAATACTCAGGGAACTGAAGTGTTGGTTTCTGCCCTGATCTCAGTTAGCTCTGTTATCTGGGGCAAGGTTTTTGGCCTGAACCATTGGAAGAATGGAGTTGCTCTCAACAAAAATGGGGAAGACTCATTATAGATGAAGTGGGAAGATTTGAGGTGAAAATCAGGAGCTCGATTTTGGGTACATTGAAATCTAACATCCATGTAGAGATATCAGAGTAGGCAGTTGACTTATGAGTCTGGAATTTAGGAAACAGGTCTGAGCTGGAAGTATAAAACTGAGATTTCTGGCATAGATGTGGTATTTAAAGCCATGAGACCAGGAGAGATCCCCAACGGAGTTAAGTGTTCCTGGAGAAGAGGACCAAGGACTGAGCTGTTTAATGCTCTCATGTTAAAAGATCAGAGAGATGAAGGGGGAAAAAACCCATATACAGTCCAAACGGAAATGTCTGCAAGCTAAATTTGGTCCCTGTACTAGACCAAGTGTTGGGAAATTTCATAGGAGTTCACGCTTATAAAAGACCACAGGTAATGCCTATTTCAAGCCAAAATGCTAAACTAGGAACAGAAAACCTGGGTTCTAGTCCTGATTTTATGCCCGGGTAAGTGACCTTGACAAATCACTGAACTATTTTGCGCCTCCCTTTCCTGTCTAAAGAGACAGACAGCCAGACCAGATGATCTCCAAGTTTAGACATTCATGGTTCTAGACATTTTAGAGAGGAAGAAACTGAAGCCCAAGGAGAGAGGATTAAGTGACTTGCCTAACATTCTGGCTTTAGGGAGAGACCACAGGCCAGTGTGTCTTCTTCTCTATTGTTTTAAACCCCGTATGTGTATTAGAATACCTGGGGTGCTTTTAGGAACACTGATTACTGGGTCCCAAACCTAAAGTATCTCATTTTGTTGGTCTGCGTTGGGTTTGGCCTTGGTATTTTTGACACTCCTTGGGTAATTGACAACCCACTGTTCTGTAGACAGGGCATGGCAGTGTCTTGCTAGCTGCTACTACACCTCTCTGCATCTTGACTTGTCTTTCCAGCACGAAAATGATTCACTCAATTTTAAACCCTTTTATTCAGATGAAGGAGGAGGATAGCTTTCTAGACCTGGTGAAAACGAAGTAGCAAGTATCAGCTTTCTCTGAAGTTCAGTAAAATGGCATGACCATAGCTTTCTTGAACTCCATCCTAGAGGTGAAATGTTATGGAAAACCATGAAGCCATGGCCCGTGGGCAGTGGGGGGGCTAGGGAGGGATTGTTCTCTCTTCCTCCCTACCTTTTTGGAACAGATACAAGTTTGTTCCGAAACCAAATTTACTAGGTTAATAAGCAGTGCATCAGGCATAGTACACCAAATGCTGTTGCTTTTACTATATTTATATAGCAGGCAGAGTCTTGCCGTCCACCATAGAAGCCTTACTGCTTTACAGTGGTTTCTCACCAAAGCTTTGCCGCTTTGGACACCAATAGGATATAGGGTTTCTTGGTTAAAACCCACATTCTCCATACATTACAACATTTGGCTCTGTCTTTGGGGGGTGTTATGTGTCAGTATGTATGTTTGCATGTGTATGTGTGGGGTTGTGTGTTTCAAACTGTATTCTAGCGTTCACTCTCTCCAGAGAGCATGTGTCTAGGAGAAGAGCCATTTTGGACTAAGGACACAGACATGGACTGCGGAGACACATTATTTACAGCCTTACCACATTCACTTGCCATTCTAGTAGTGCCAGCAAAATGATTTTATCATGCATAATGTACCGGTAATTAACCTGGTAAATTTCTTTTGGATGCCTCTTGTCTATTCCATACTTGTTTTTTAGTGCCCTTTATAACTCTAAATCACTTTCTTAGTTTAGGAGCATAAAAATATATTGTGTATGACTGGTTTGCTCATAAAATTGTCATATTTGATATATTTAAAGATGTGAAGGCCTGGGGGAGAAAAACAGAAAAATTCAGGGGAGAAACCAAGCAAGTCTTCAGAAACAATTGTTTTTTTCCTCTGGGTCTTCATAGCTCTCCTCCACTCAGACGTGCAGCCCATACTAATGAACACAGGCTTGGAATACACTCTGAGATTGCTCTAGGGCGACCAGGGCTCAAGATAATTGTAATTTTTAAAAATAGGTTTCACCGTTGTTTGGAACCATCTACAATTCAATTTACTTTATCGCACAAGCCATGAATAATGCTATGAAAGAAAATGGACGGGCTAGTGCTGCCAGCCTGGTTCAGCATTCCAGAAACATGCAGTTCTATGGATTCAACCAGTTGATAAGGACAGATTCAAATGGAAATGGAATTGCAGAATATGTAATCCTGGACACCAACTGGAAAGAATGGGAACTCTATAGTACTTACACTGTGGACATGGAAATGGAGCTGCTGCGATTCCGAGGGACCCCCATTCACTTCCCTGGTGGCAGGCCCCCTCGAGCAGATGCAAAATGCTGGTTTGCAGAAGGGAAGATCTGTCGAGGAGGTAAGGAATGGAAAATCACCGGTGGTCAATTTGGTTCAGTGTGGGTTATAAGGGAACCTCTTTAAGGGAAGACGTATTTTAACATTGGAACACTCATAGAATCAGTCATTTGCATTCAAGGGAGATAAACATCTTGGCATTCCGGGTAGTTAGATTAAAATAATGAGGACAATGAGAGGTACTTTGCAGCCTTGGATAATCATCTACAATTTAAAAGCCAACCCCACTCATTTTCAAAATGATCCCACTCCCAAGGAGGTTTACTCTAAGAAGAGGAAGCCATGAGTCTTCTCCTTGGTCTGTTGTCGGCTATGACCTGTGATCATTTCCTCTGCTAGAAAGATCACCTGTCCTTCCCTTGATGTATCCAAATTCTGTCAGTCAGGTCCACCCACAGAGATACCATTTCTATACCCTCTCTTCTCTGAACTCCCATTGAACTAAAAGTCTGTACCTCACAGCTTAGCACAAAATTGCTTCTCGATTGTTTCTTGTGTATTGATTGTGTCTCCCCCTCCCAAACATGCTGCTCCTTGAGGGCAGGGACCATAGCTAATAGCTCTTATGCGCCGCCCCCCAACCAACACGGTTGGCATCCAAAATATACTTGCAGTTTGACTGACTGATGGAACTCCTCTAGCTTGAGGAAGAGTGGAAACTCCATCAAATCTCTGAGAGCCAGAAGGGAACTTTGGAAGGATCCATATTATTCCTATGTGAGTGTACACCACACCCTTCTAAAACCAAATGCATCTATTTGAAATGGACTTCAATTTCTAGTTTGCTTGAGTGTGACATACCCAACTACCTTGACGTTAGCATCATCATATATTTCCTTCTGAAATCTTAGTAATCCATCCAAATGTTTAGGTTTTCTAGAGGCTAATTTACATCTCACTGAAACCCTAATTATCAAAACCAGACTCACCCTTGAAGGACAAGTGCTATGTTTTTCATCTATAACTCACAAGGTCTATGGGCTCCAGTGAATTTAAAGGTCTTTTATTTTATGAAGGTGACATAATACTTACCCTTCACAGGTGAGATAACATATTTATTCTCAAGAACTCTATTGCCATCCAACTTAAATTAAGGTACTCAAAGTTTTCCATTCGTGGACTTTTTCCTCCAAAGCAACACCTGGGTCAGCCTTAATTCATGTGATTTGTTATTGTCAGAGTGGTGAGTGGTTTTGCCTCAGAACGGCGAAATTGCTTTCTGTGTCCATAAAGTCAACAAGACATACTGTGCTGTAGAAAAATGGAATTAAGTTAGGTAGATGTGGCTTGATTTTAGACTCACCAGAAAGCATGAGGAGCCACTCCGTGGTGCCCTTTATTTACAGTCTCTCTCTGATAATGCCATTCTTCCTCTCGCTCTCTACAGGCATCGACCCTGCCTTTGCTGTGATGGTCTGCCTTGCTTTGCTTATAGCCCTGCTGTCTATTAATGGATTTGCTTACTTTATAAGGTACATTTTTGTTCTTTTGGATATAAAAATACAAGCCCATAATAGCCTTGTTAATATTTATTTCCAGGAAGTCATGTTTCAGTACAATTTCCTCATTACATGACCCACTGATTTTCTGTTTTCCATAGCGGTTTACTGTCCCTACTGGCCCCATTTAGAGTGAAGTGTTTTCATGATGCCAAGAATAACTTCCTCAGCTGTGTTATCAGTGTTGTTGCCTGTGAGTAGATTTGGCTTGCCACATTATTGTGAAATAAGAGAACTAGTACTTTAGGGCCTGTGTACTCCCTATCTATGCTCCCTTTTCCACTGGCAGAGTCTCCACTACCCATCTCTTTCCCCAAATGGTATGGACTAGTAGAAAATAGAATTGGGATATTTTAACCAGGTCCAAGAATTAGTCAGACTTTGGCGAGAATCTAGGAGTTGGGAATAATGGTACTAGTTCACAGGATTGTAGCAGGGATTATTAAATAAACTAAAGTAAGTAAAACACCTAGAATAATAATACCGACTCAGAGTAGGTGCTCAACAAGTAGTAAAGTCTCACCTCCTTCCCAGGCACATGGGATTCTCCTGCTGATTGTTGGGAGCCCAGAATCCTCACTTTGACACTCATACCTTTTGCCATGGGTATTATACTCCAGATCCACACTGTCCTTCTTCCTTGAACAAAAGCTATCCTAGCTAATCACCAATATCATCATTATCATCATGTCTTTGTCTTTCTCCCTGAGATCCCATGAGAGGTGACCAACTACTCTGATGAATGAATTCAGGATCGGGGATAAATGGCTGAAGATGGCTTAATATGATGCTCTTTTTTCATAATCTTTGCATTTTAATGGTTGAACCCTCCCCATATTAAGATGATTTGGGGAAAGAAAGAAATGAAATTAACCACAACCTCCCACTTTACTTTGTCCATCCTGCTAACCACACCTTTGTTATCTCTTTGTAAGAGTGGTCCTGACAAAAATATGACACAAACTTGGTGGGGAATAGAATGGAGCTCCTCTGGCAAGTTCTGAGAAAAAATGTCCAGAGTATATTAAGCAGCTGTGTAAATTTGGACAAGACACTAAACCTCTCTCTGCCAGAATTTTCTCATTTGTAAAATGAAGGGATTGGATTAAGTGATCTTTAAGAGCCCTTCCAGCTCTGATGTTCTAACAAGTCCGTGAAATCCTGGCTTGAAACTCTAACAGGTGGTACTCTTAGCGTTTAGTATGTTGGCATCACTGTGAGAAACCACTACTATTCAATCTCCTCATATTAGAAACTTGACAAAGCCATACAGAGTGGTGGGTAGCTTGTAAATTGCTAAAACACACTTGACAAAGACATTAGTTCAAAGGAGGTTTTTTTTTTTTTAACTTCTGAGACTGTGACATACTCCTGCACAGAACAGAAATTTAATGTATTAAGTTTAGCTGTTGTCAAAGGCCAAAGTATTGAGTTAACATCATTAGATGCTTAGTGAAAATAAATGTTATCCAACCAGAAAGCTCCCCTCTCTAGGGAGATTTGAAGAGTACTAGTCTCTGGCTGCCTGATGTCAAAACATCCCATGGCAAGGTTGAAAATGGAGTCACTCAGCTGCTTAGGTTGTCAACCTCCCACCTCACCCCCTATGACTGGCCTCACTGGTCTTTCCCATGGAATGGACTGGTTCTTTCAGCTTAGAGTGAGCTCAATCTGCAATTCGTGGGAAGGCAAGGAAAAAAAGTCTGTAAAATCGCGAGGGGGTTGTTTGGAGTTTGTGGGCTGAAGGGCCAAGAAGGCTGGAGAGGGACATGATTGGAGAGGAAAATGAGTTTGAGACAATTGGTACTTCAAGTGGTACTGAAAACTCAGAGATGGGAGAGAGGCACATCATTTCCCAGAGTCACTTGGTCCTTGGTTCTTCAGCTAACAAAGCACAAAAGATGTGCTCTCTTTGCTGCCTGCCTCCCTCTCTCTGCCCACCACGGCTGCAATCAGAAGAACTGAGCGTCTGATGAGTTTCTGTAATAGAGGGTGATTACTTGCAGGAGAGTGACTCTCTGTTCCTTCCTTTTCTCTGTGTTTTGATTGTTTAAGTTTTTTTTTTTCCAGAAAGAAAGACGTGCAAAGAACCCAACCACCCCCAAACAAAGGATTCTTTGAACTCCTCCTTTCTCCGGACTCTGAACCAGATTGCCTCGCCTTCCTATAAAGCTCTCCAGTGCTTTGTAAAACTAATGATGATAATGATAATAATGAGCTCTTATACTTTCATGGTGCTTCATGCTTTTCAGAGCACTTTCACATATATTATCTCATTTGATTTTCAAAACAACTCTATAAAGCGGGTAATGCAGGAACCATTATCCTGCTAGACAGATGAGGACATGCGGGGCATGAAGAGGTTAAATTATTTATCTAAGGTCATCTGGCTAATTAATGACAGAATCTGCACTACACCCCAGGTCTCTGCATTGGGAGTCTGATTCTCTTTCTAGAGTGTGTAGCATGGTTATTTTCACAGGTGTGCCTGCTTTAAGACAATTCACTACACATATGAAACGGATAAGTTTGGGAGTAATGCTTTACTTTGCCAGAAGATTCATGTGCTCTACCCAAGAATTCACTACAGGGCTCTTTTAATTTTCTCTGCAGGGCAGCAACTCCCACAGTGATAAGGGACATATTTGTTGGCAGACAATTAGAAACACATTAATTGTTTGTTTACAAACCAGTGGAATCACTGAGACAAGCGGATTGTGTTGCTGGTGCTTAAAGCTACAGTGACATTGCAGACTTCCTTACAGCAACTTGACAAAGCATTTTGATTCAGTGGTTGTTTTCCCCACTCTGGCACTGGCTTTAATACATTCCACAGGGTGACCATTAAGGGGTTGTGGAAAAAGCGAAGCCAAACCGTAGCTGTCAGCACCCCCAAGACAAAACAAAACAAAACAACCACACAGACTAAATCCAAGGTATCCTTCAGGTCCACAAGTTGTCAGGACGGCTCAACTGAGATGACCTACCTGGCTGTGTGGGTAGACATCAAAAACTTCTATGTGTCTAGTAACTGATTTGTAGGAAATAATTATATTTGCTGCAAATTAGTGGGCATGTTTGAAGAGAATCAGGTTTAAACTGTGTCTGTGTAATGCTCAGACAAGAGACCAATTCAGTAAAAGAAAAAAAAAAAAAACCTAGTCAGCCCACTTGTTTGGAATCATGTAGACAAAGCAACCAACTGATTGAATTTTTCCACTTTTCAACCTGTCGCTTTGGCAACGCATAGATGCTACTTCGCAAGACAAGTGGTCTTGTGGGCAGAAATCTGGGCCTGCAGCCAGGGACCAAGGATTGGAGACCCAGCTCTGCCTCGAGCCAGGGGATCTCACAATTTGCTTAATTTTGTTTTGTTTCTTTAATGTGTTTTTGTGTCTATAAAATGGAAATTAATGCTTCTTGGCCTGGATATTATTAGAATATATACTGTGGCATACGAGAAAGGGTGTTGAGTTCTTTTCGAGTATTACAAGGTGCTGTTTTGAATGTGCTCTTGATGTGGGATCACCATTTTATTAGTCTGACTTAATGTCCCCATGCAGCATCCTCACTCTTCCCTTTTGATGCCTCTTCAATAGCATCTTCATTTTTCTCTTTTGGTCTTTGTAACTCTGCAAGTCTTGAGAACCAGGGTTGCTATTTCTCTTTGCTGTGGGTACTAAGGTAAAGACCTATGTGCGGTTAGTCTCCTCATTATCTTGTATATTTTAAAACTTCTATCATGGGGCAAATTTATCCTAGGTTTGCAAAATACCCAGCCACCTGTGACCTTCTGATTTTACACTTGTTTCAGGCATCGTATAAATAAAATCCAGTTGATTAAAGGACCCAACAGAATTCTACTAACTTTGGAGGATGTGACGTTCATCAATCCCCACTTTGGCAGTAAGGTAAGGAGCATCATCCTGTCTTGCTGCACTGTCTAATATGGTATCCACAAGCCACAACTGACTACTGAGCACTTGACATGTGGTGAGGCCGGGGGTGCCTGGGTGGCTCAGTCTGTTAAGCGTCCAACTCTTGATGTCAGCTCAGGTCATGATCAGGGTGGTGAGATCAAGCCCCGTGTTGGGCTCCGCACTCAGCATGGAGTCCGCTTGAGGTTCTCTCTCTCTCCCTCTTCCTCTGCCCCTCCCCCCACTCATGCTTTCTCAGTCTCTGTCTCTTTCTCACTCACATAAATCAATCAATCAATCAATCAATCAATCTTTAAAAAAAGCATGTGGTGAGTCTGAATTGAGATGTGCTATAAGAGTAAAATACACTCTGGATTTAGAAGATTTAGTACAAAAACATGTAAAATATCTCATTAAATTAAAAAAATTAACTACATGTCAAAATGATAATACTTTGGATGTAGTGGGTTAAATAAAGCATATAATTAAAAATTTTAAATTTTATTATGTTCAGTTAGCCACTGATGATCTCACCTGCTTTTTACATTTTTTAATGTGACTACTAGAAAGCTTATAATACATATGTGGCTCAGGTTACAGTTCTAGTGGATAGTGCTGTCTTAGAACAGTTTTGTGAAAGCGATGCAGTGCACTTTAAGCAATAATGTAGCTTTGACTTCATATAGCCCTTCTCTAATCTATCTGAACTCCACATTTGATTGCTTGTTCAAGGGCAGGGGTACATTTTCTCTTAATGTTAGCCCATAGCACCTGACCTCCTGCTGATGGTATAATAGGTGCTCGTAAAAGTTTGGTGAATGAATCAACTAGTGAAAATCGGTTGAATGTCTCCAGGGGTTCTGTTCTGATGGTGATTTTATTAAAACTGGTGCTCTTCACTGAATGCCTGTACTGGCCCTGGGCTAGACTTTGTGAGCATGGCACGGAGTCCCTGCCTTCAAAGAGATTATAGTTAAGTCAGAGAGGCAAATTATACCACACAAGAGAGCTGATAGCTGCCATATTGCACAAAAGACACTAGAAATATGGTAAATGTCAGAGGAAACGTATCAGTGGAAGAAGGATTTTTTAGAGACCCAGCACTAAAGCTGGGTCTTAAACAAGGATGGGTAGGATTTGTCTAGGTCACAGGTCCCGAACTGGTAACCACTTTTGTTTGACCCTTATAGTTATAAAAAAATCGTACCCAGAATTTTGAAATTGGGAGATTACACATAAAAATCTGGATTTCTGGGTGTTTTTTATTTTTTAAAAAGATTTTATTTATTTATTTGACAGAGAGAGAGCACAAGCAGGGGGAGTGGCAGGCAGAGGGAGAGGAAGAAGCAGGTTCCTCACTGAGCAGAAAGCCTGATATGGGGCTCGATCCCAGGACCTCAGGATCATGATCTGAGCCAAAGGCAGATGCTTAACCGACTGAGCCACCCAGGCGTCCCTCTGGGTGTTTTTTAAAGGTTGGAAGATCCGTCAGCCTTGGGTATCATCGTGGCAATTGGTTGGGACTCAGTAGTAGTTGCTCTTTTCAGGAGAAGCATGTTCTCTGCAGTTTGACCCAGTTCCCATCACTCTCTACTGTCTTATACTCAGCCTATGTCACCAATTTATATTTACCTTCCTGACCTGTGTAGGCAGAGAAAACAGCATAAACAAAAGCTTGGAAAAAAGAAAGTGTGGGGAAGAGTTTTGTCAACTGTAGTAGTAATAGGAGAGGATGCCTCTTTGTGCCCAGTCTGTGTGGCCAAAATAAAGACATTCATTTTTGCAAATTCTAGTATAGTGGTAGCAGGATGTAAGGAGAGAATGCAAACACATCTTATTTGTCCCACATGAGCTACTTACTTGTGCTAGTGTACCAGATCTGAGAATGATCTCTGTGACCAAACTGATCATTTGCCTAAATGTGGCACTGAACACTATACTTGAACTAGTTGGCTGGGTGACGATGGGTTTACATGGCAATACTCTGTGCAGTTGGAATCAGATGAAATGTTCAGCTGTTTAGTTTAATTCTCAATTACAACCCTAACTCTTATTTGTTTAAATCATCACATAGTTTTTGTAAGGTTGATATCATGTTCCTGGAAATGTACTGCTGAATGCCAAAATTATCACTGTGGCTGAAAGCTACATTCCACCCTCATGCCATAAAAACGTATTGATGTTAGTCTCTATTTCTGAAGCCACCAGAGGACCCTGGGACTCACTCGGGGTGGTAGATTTTGTCTGGATTTGCTATAATCCCATATGCCATGTGTGAAATTTCCCACCTTAATCAGAAAGGGTAGATACTGAAGTGCAAGCTCTGAAGCAATCTCAGTATATAACCCGATACTGAGAAAACAAGTATTTAATTCTATGACAAGATATTTTATCCAGAAATGGGTAATCAGTAGTAAAAGCAGATGATTAGAAGTCGTTGTTCAAACGTAGCAATGTTTACTAAAGTTTTGGTTATGAGCAATAAACCTGTTTTTAAAAATCTTACTTCTGTGGTGGTATCCATGTCAAAATGACAGTTCATGTCGATTGCCCGGATGTTTTGGCTCTCAAGTGTCAAAACAACAAACAGATACTTTTTGGGCTGAATTAACCCTCTCTTTGTATAGGCCTTGCAATAGTCCAGTAAAGTGTGTAAAATCTCCACCTGTGCCTTCTCTCTCTCCTACTGAGACACAAAACGTGTTTGGGTTTCATTCGGGGTCTCAGAAAATCACCATAAATAATAGAATAGCGCTACCTTCAGATGAACAAAGTGTCTAAGTTTTTAAAATCTTGTTCATGATGATAGATCTTTTCTTTCACTTGTGCATACATTTTGACATAATGAGAGTAAAAAAAAAAAACAACAACAACCCAATAATCACTTTTCATTGCATGAATGAGAAAAATGAAGAGCAACAGGGATTGATAGCCTTATAGGGAGTGTTTCTTTTATTTTTTACTATTTTCGCCCTGGTGCAAAAAGGATGGCATTATTCTAGAACATAGCTCTTGGCCTCCAGATCCCTTTTGGCATTTGGCTTTTATCAGAGTTTCTGATGGGAAAAGGTAGGGGAAGCATACATTTTCCTTAATTGCTGTGTAGTCACAGACTTGCAGCTGGTTGTGTCTAATCAGTCAAGAAGCCAAGCCAAGAATTCCATCCAAATGGAATGTCTGAAAGTGTAAACTCTTGGTGAATATAAAATTAATTCAGTCTAGAAAAATTGGCAGGTCAGTAGAAGTCAGGTCAGGAAAGGAAGTTTTTAGAAGAAAGTAAAGCTGAAGCCCAAACGTATGTGGATTTTGGCAGATTCTCTTGCTTTCTCCTGTGCCCCTTCATGGAGAGGTCTATGCCTCAATATACAGATCTAGGTGCTCCTGCTGAGATATGAAAATAAAGAATGAAAGAGAAGTAGATTCCTCCTTGACCTCACTCTGTTGAGGAGAGTTCAGGTTTATGCAAGGGTTATGTGAAGAGTCAAGTTTTACATCTTGTCTGAATTGTGAGCTGTTGGGATTTCAACACATTAGGAGTTGGGTATAGTTCACTAGTGCCTTGGAATTTCGTGATAGTCTTGTCTTGGTAGAATGAACTTAACTCGGGGGCTAAATCAACTAGTGATCTTCAGTTTATCAAAGACCATTAAGAGCAGAGTATGTCAAAGTACGTAAGATTCATTTTTATTGGCAAGCAAGAGTGAAACAGAGCATGGTGTGTTCGAAAAAACACAAGACCGGGATATAACATCCACATTCCTCTTCCAGTCCCTATATCCCTCACTAAGTCTCTATTTCCTAGTTGTAAAATGGGGGTGTTAGAGTTGGGAGGGGCGGGGTCCAGCCTAGACAATACCAAATGTAATTGCTGGCTCTGAATTACTGTACTTCCAAGAAAGGCACATTTGGAGACATGGAGAAGAATATGAGGAACCTGTTGATTTATGATTTCCTCACATGAAATAAGTCTGCTGGTTTAGTTGAAGATAAAGCTGGTCGATTTTAAAGGTTACCACAGATTGCAGATAGCTCTTCCTCTTGTCATTCAATGGTGCACTTCCTGGTCCTCTCTTACCAGACTTACGTGTACAAGTTAAGAAATCAAGGAATAAGGAACTTGGCCTATTTAAGCATCAGACTCATAAATCATGGGCAGACGATCTACTCACTCTCTACTGTCTTATTGCTTTGTGGGATACCTTCTGCCATTAATCTTGCCTGCACAAAGAAGGCTGCCATTCCAGATGGTATAACAAAAGGAGCCAGGCCTGAGAGCCAGTCAGAAGGGTGGGATTATGTGCTAGTTCTGCTATTGATTTTTTCAAAATGTTAGATGCTTATGTTCTTATTTTTGTCTATAGAGTGAGGGTCCCAGATTAAATTATGACTGGTGTTCTTTCTTGCCCCCCCCCACCAAATCTCGGATTTTTTTTATTAAGAATTTATTTATTTATTTATTTATTTATTTATTTATTTATTTATTTGACAGATTGAGAGAGAGAGAGAGCACACAAGCAGGCAGCACTGCAGGCAGAGGGAGAGGGAGAAGCAGGCTGCCCGCCAAGCAGAGAGCCCAATGCGGGAGTCGATCCCAGAACCCTGGGATCACCACCCGAGCTGAAGGCAGCCAACTACCCGACTGAGCCACCCAGGCACCCCAAATCTCTGATTCTTTTATTTTTTTAAAAGATTTTTTATTTATTCATTTGAGAGAGAGAGAGCATGCCCGCGAGCACAAGCGGGGGGGAGGGGCAGGGGGAGAGGGAGAAGCAGACTCCCCACTGAGCAGGGAGCCCAATGCAGGGCTTGATCCCAGGACCCTGAGATCATGCCCTGAGCTGAAGGCAAATGCTTCACCAACTGAGCCACCCAGGTATCCCCCAAAACTCTGATTCTAATCCTTTCTAAGAGATGGAGGTACCTGTGAATATTTACCTTTTTTGTGTGTTATATGGAGGTGAAGCATGATATCAACCCTAGCCTAAAAATGTTGTGCTGGGGGATAGGTAAATTAATCTCCTGTTTACAAAGTTCAGGTCATATAGTTACTCTCTGAGGAAAAAAAGAAAAAAGAAAAAGAAAAGCCAGATAAGCACAGTATCTATACCATAGTTCAATGCTTTATCTTAAATCATGAGAGTTTTATTTGTAACCTTTTTTTCCTAATCTTTTCACAGAGAGGAAGTCGTGCCAGTGTAAGCTTCCAGATCACCTCAGAAGTCCAAAGTGGGAGGTCCCCAAGGCTCTCCTTTTCCTCAGGGAGTCTAACTCCAGCTACCTATGAAAACTCCAACATAGCAATTTATGAGGTAGGATATCCAACAGCTATCTAATCTGCTGCCTTCTTGAGTTTTAAAATGAGACAGTGATTTAAGACTTAGTCTTTGGGTGAAAACATTGAGGCTTTTGGAAAGTCTTTCCAGTTTTTTGTTCGTTATCCACTCATAGACTTGTTTGGATGACCTTTTGGACGACGATTTTCCTCAGCAACTAATCTACTTACTTATAATTTCATATCCATCTATTTATTGTGCATGTGAAAAAAAGTCAGCGGATCCATACACTTAGCCATGTCACTCGTTCTAGAAAATATGGGTATAATAATAGAAGAAATGACTTCCCGAGTCACCTGTTTGGGATGAAATATCTAGAAACATGTTTGTGTAGAGTTTTGGGCAAATCCCTCCCTTCAAATTTTAGTTGTTCTTCTATACCCGTTATCCTCTGATATTACTGAAATCTTTTAAAGATTCTTTCTTTTTTTCTCAGCCTGTGCTGCTGCCTTTTGGAGTAACAGGTGACCTTCTGCTGTGTAAAATAGAAATCTTTTTTTTAAATTTCATTTAAATTTCTGTCTTACAAGCTTTAAGAGGCCACCCCTGACCCCTTGTTCTAAGATACTGGAATTTGGCAACCAGAACAAATCTTGCAACAGTTGGAGAGATGAACTGTTTCTTCTCAGCAGGAAAGAGTTAAGCAGGGGGTAAGAGGGAAACTAGTCCCTCCTAAGTGATGCCTTCCCAGTGTGGTTTCCTTGTTTTGTTTGAAGATACTCCCAAAAGCAGCAAACACTCTCAACTTCAATAGTAACTACAAAGAAAGTCCAAAACAGGACAGAATGAGTTTTTAGATTGTCCAACGTATTGAATTTTCCAAGTGAGTGCTCTCCATTGCCCAAATAATTGACAGACGCCTAAAACACGAAGATTGGCATGGTATATATTTGCTCAGTGTACGTGAGTGCTCTGACTTAAATTTGTAGCAGGAAACCTCTGGATCTTGCCTTGAAGCTCATTTAATCAAAGAGGAGATTTGCTTCAAATGTAAACTTGCAGTATTGGGGAATTGACAGCTCTGTTCTCTCAAAGACCAAAACCAAGACAATCGTATAGCTTTTGAATGTCAGATGCAGTGGGCTGATGGCTTTATGAATGTACTGACACCTCGAAGATTCTGAAATAAATCTCAGTAACCTAAGGCAGTCTCTTGGTTTTTCATCTGTAAAATGAGGTATGGAACTAAGTTCTTAATCTTGGCTACTCACTGGAATCTCCATGGGAAACTGAAAAACATACCTGTGCCTAGCCTCCCTGGCTAGTAACCCTGATTCGGTTGGTATGGGGTGATTTCAGGCATTGACATTTTTTTCAGGTTTCCCTATGTGTGCATCCAGGACTGGGGAAGAATTTATGTGTCGAGTTGTGGTATGTTTTATTTGGTGGAGACAGAAGGTTATAGTGTAGAATTGAGAAGGGAAAAAATAAACATCTGTATGTAACTGGCCTTTAAGAATCTGTCAGATATTTCCTCATCTTGGGAGGAGGCAGAGAGTTGAGTTAGTTCCCATGATGACTGTTGGTCAGTCAGCTCATGAGTATTTCTGAACTGTATAGGCCAAAGGGGGCCTTTATCTGCACAAAAGGAGGGTGTTAGTGAGAATAATACCACACCATGAAGTCAAGATTAGGCTGATGGCAGGGTGCGAAGGAAGACAGCCGAAGCTGGAAAACTGCCTGGGAAGGAGCCTAAGTTAATTGAATCAACAGATCAAACAAAGAGATTCAGTGTGCCTTCTGAAACGGTCCTCTGTTGGGAGCGTTTTAAAGAAGATTCGTTATCTAGTTTCTGTTTAAAATAAATCAGATTTTCCTAAGAATTGTTACTGGAAGATCTGCAAGTTCCAGCTAATGCGCCTGGAGTAGCAGACAGCTAATAGCAAAGGACAGGCTTCCCTAGGATGTGCCATAACGTGGTCCAACACTGAGACAGATTCCCACTTCAGTTCCACGCAGAGATGCATCACCTTAGGACCTGGACCAGAAAATTGGCCCTTATTTCATAGATGCTCTTTGAGAGAAGAGAGAAAAGTCAGATGAGCAGATCACTGGGGAGAGAGAACTGGGAATAGCAGATGCCGTGGGAACATGTCACCATCTGCTCTAATAGCCACAGCCTAGGGGACAGGGGTGAGGTGGGCAATGACACAACACTGATACATTCAGCGAGAACCCACTGAACTTACTCCTTCTGCCTCTCAGCCTCTCCCTATGTTTTCCTCCTTATCTCCATTCTCTCTTCCCCCTCACTGCATACCCTCCCCATTCATCTTCTTTTCCCAGAGCCCTTTTTCTTCTATGTTCCCACCTTCTTCTATATCTCATGTAACTCTGTCTCCACTCCCCTATCCTTTCCACCAACCACCTCGCTCATCACAGAATTGTCCAGCTCTGTCCATTAGAAAACTGGGGCTCGGGCCAACAAAGTGGTTGCTCTAAGGCCGCTCCTGAATTTGAGGCACAGCCAGGTCCAGGACCTACTTCTCTTGACTCTTAGTTAAGGCTCCATGGCCTTAGTGCAAAACTGATGGACTTTAAATTACTTCTAAAAACTTTAGTGGATAGAGTTTGATGTTTCTTCCTCTTAATTAAAAAGTGAATGATGAATGGAGTATTTTATCATTCACTTAGAAGAAAAAATCAAAACAAATAATGTATGTGTGGTGAAGATAAAACCTGCCCATTTCCTTCCTCTTCCTCATTATTAATGAAGTAGGACACACACAGACTCAATAAAAATTTGCTTATAAAGTTTGTGAGAATTATTTAAATCTTAAAATAAATGCACACAAATCCCCCAAACCAAAGAAAGCCATGAGAGAAAGGAGCAATAAAGTGGAAAGTGGAAGACCTCGGTTCTGTTACTACCTAGCCTTCTGACCTTGTACAAGTCACTTCATCTCTTCAGACTTCAGTTTCTTTATCAAAATATGAAGGGATTAGAACAGGGATACCCAAGACCCTTTCCAGCTCTCAAATTTGGTGATTTGGCTGGGAAAAAAAAGCTTGGCTTAATTACCTCTAAAAGTTAATAAGCCAGAGAGAAGGCTAACCCCTGTCTGTAATAAGGCTGACTCCAGGAAGAGAGTATCAGGTACTGGCTAGAGGCAGTCAGGACTGCCAGTTCTGATGTTCAGGTTGTGCACTGCACAAGGGCACCATATTTTTTTTTTTTTTTTAAAGATTTTATTTATTTATTTGAGAGAGAGAATGAGAGATAGAAAGCACGAGAGGGAAGAGGGTCAGAGGGAGAAGCAGACTCCCTGCTGAGCAGGAAGCCCGATGCGGGACTTGATCCCGGGACTCCAGGATCATGACCTGAGCCGAAGGCAGTCGCTTAACCAACTGAGCCACCCAGGCGCCCAAGGGCACCATATTTAAGAGGGTGCTATTCACATTATAGACATGTACTAACTTATATGACAGAGGTGCAGGAGTGGGCGAAGAGGTTCTGACCTCCCAGCCTAGTTTGGGAATGAGATGGGGGGGGAGGGGAAGGGGCTACTTCTCATATCTACATTTATACTAGCACACTCGACTATGCACATACATAGTCACTGGTAAACATATGCGCACCTGATTATACGCTGCCTTGACTATTCCCCAGGAGTTTTTTTTGAAGTTACTCCTTTCTCCTGCCCAATATTCTTGGGGGTCCAAATTCAGCTTCTCTCCTCCACCTCTATAGCCTGACTCCAAACCTGATGAAGAGGCTCCACCTGGCAGGCAGGGCTTGGTGGTACGCAGACCAGCCATGCTGTGAGTGGAATGTGTTCCCTGGTATCTGGAGGATGTATGAGTAAATGAGAGTGTGGCACCAGGGCTGCCACAGGCTGTAAAAGAATATTCTCACATGTTTGTCTGTCTGTTTGTTTATTTATTTTTCCTTGAGGGAAAGCACCCTTTCTAATTAGCAAGAAGGTGCCCTTACAGCTCGTAGTGACCATGGCCGAGTAATATGGTTGCAAAGGTGCTTGGAGAGGCTTTATTGCCTACCGCTATCTCCCACACATTTGTTGCTTTTGTGAATTCCCAGGTAGAATTTTTTTTTTCTTTCAGCTTAAACCTTGGCTTTGATCCCTCTAAAGGGCAAAGTCCTCCGAAGGCTAAAACTTTGAGCTCGTGTCTGGCCCTCATGACTTCTGTGATTAAGGAATTAAGTGTGGGTTGGAGTGTGAGACTCAGCCTTTCTAACCAGTTTCCAGGTGACAGTGATGCAGCTGGTCTGGGGCCACGCTCAGGGAATTATCGAGCAAGAGACCAGGAAGGCTGCCTTGACCGTTCTGCTACAGGCAGGCGCGGATCCTGGACTTAACCTTGCTGGGCTCTGTGGGCAGTGAACCTGGCTGGCACAGTTCTGTTCAGCTGCTGAAGGCCTCTGAGAGCCATTCCCTAGTTAAAGGGTTTCAAGCTCCTTGGCTCGAAGATGCCCTCTAACCCAAAGTGCGGGCGTGTAACTCAGATGTCCGCAGCTCCCGTTATTAGCCTTTGCCTCTGGCAGGTCTCCAGATGCAGTGCCACAGCTGGATATATTCCTTAATAAGAGAGTGGTTACACTCTCTTATTCTTGGAATTTGACTGCACAGAGCTCTCTGCTTTATTATCTCTACTTGATGACAAATTGGTGCAGCCTGAAATGGAATCTCCAGGCTATAGGTAATAGATATGAAAGCACTTTGAAGGGTAAAGAGCACTGTGCAAATGCAAGGCATTATTATTATCAGGGAGAAAAAGGAATCTATATTTGTATTGCTTTTTTAAAAAATTTGGGTCGCACAGAAACTAGGGCTTGATGACTGATGAATCCTTGAGGCTATGCAAGGAGAAGAAAATTATCTATCAGGTGCTGGTGTTAAAGTGAAGACAATAAAATAATTGTTGTTTTTGACTTGACAGCAGCCTTAGAAATAGCTGCTTTGTACTTAAAAAGTCAGAAATAGACTTCTGAAAGAGTCTAGATTACTTGTATTACTGCGGTAGTATATCTGTGCATCCAAATAAGAAATGTTTAATCTACATTGAAGCCAATTGGTTTATGATTGAAGCATCAGAGGCCCCCAAAATGGCCTGTCCCACAAGAGAAAACTGGAGCAAGGTAAATGCAGAAAACAATTGCTGCATTACATCTCCGGCCTTACATCTCCCACCATGGATGCCTCAAGGCAGTAAGAATTGCAACCGCCAACCATCATCATCAATCGCAGAGAACCTGGTGCTATATCACTTAGCAATGAATAAATGAAATGACCTAGCACTTACTGCAGTTAGTGAAGGGAGTCATTGCAGAGTGGTATCATTCCTTTTCTGGGGTCTGCATACCTGCAATGGTTTCCTGGTCTTTAGTTAATTGGAATTTTTACCTTTCACTTCTCTGCATGACCTCATATTTAAACATTTGATGTATCTATCTACCTGTCTATCTGTCTCTCTATTGGGACAGAGAGAGAGAGTGAGCCGGGGAGGGTCAGAGGGAGAAAGAGAGAGAGAATCTCAAGCAGACTCTCCGCTGAGCATGGAGCCTGACGCTGGGCTTGATCCCACTACCCTAAGATCATGACCTGAGGCGAAATTAAAAGTCTGATGCTTAGCCGACTGAGCCACCCTGGCATCCCTGCATGACCTCATTTTTAGCTCAAATACAGAATGTCTATGTGGTGGAGGGTGATGGAAGAAGAACAAAGCCTGTTTGAGTTGATGGTCTGATTATAAACCCTTCATGTGGAAGGAACATTGCTCTAAAGCTGTTGGCAACTAAGTCTGATCATTCCTCTCTGCCTTTTCTTTCTAGGGTGATTGGGTGTGGCTGAAAAAGTTCCCCTCTGGAGGTTTTGGAGACATTAAGTCCATCAAATCGAGTGCAAGTGATATGCTTGAAATGGTATGAGAAACCCTGGTTTATGTACATTCCCACTAAAATTAATCCCTTTCTCCAAAGTAACTAACATCAGCTGTTAGGAAGACCCCTTAACAAGTCAGTGTGGAGAAGCTGCAGGGTTGCTACTGGCTTGATATAACCACGTGATGCTATGGCAGAAGTATGGGCTCTGAAATCAAAGAGACATGAAGGATTCAATTTCCAGCTCTTACCCACTTAAGAGCTATTTTAACTTGGGTAAGTCACCTAGCCCCCCTGAGCCTTACTCTCCTTATTTGTAAAGGAAATACTTCCCGGGGTTGGCATGAGGATGAAAAGAGATAATACACATAAAGCATCTTGCACATTTCCTGACATATAGCTTCTTTATAAAATGGTAGCTATTATGATTATTATTAAGTATATATCCCATAATCATTCAAAATCTCCAGTTGCCAGGCCTAGAAAAGTCATCTTGTAATTACTACTTGCATAAGAAAAATGGTGATTTCCCCAGTCCCACCAATTATGTTTAAAGAGTCCTTGGATGGTTTGTTTAAGGAAGCAGTATGTAAATAAGGATGATTCCTCCCAAACCATTTAAAATCTTGGCTCCTCCTTGAGCTTTGAGTCTGTAAAAGTTTCACAGAGCCTGTCCTTCAGACTCATGAGAGTGGGAATTTTAGGAAAGTAATAATAGATTTCTTCACATCTATGAAACAGGCAAGTTCAAATCAATCCGACAGGTATGAATCAGACACCTGCTACATCCTGAGCCCTGTACAAGTCAGAAAATAAAGGAAAGGAAGAAATGGGAGGTATGTGGCTCACCGTGGACAGGATGTATCCCAGGGATCAGATGAGATGTTATGATCTGGTATTTCTCTTATGTGTGGTTTTGATGCTTGGAGCTGATGGTAAAATAATGAGAGATGAATCCAGAAGGGGGACCAATGCCAGAGCTAGAATAGACAATCCACACTGGTTTGATGATCCAGGATGCTAAACAGGGAGCTAACTTCAAAGTTGGGAGCCAAACAGGCTCAAACTTAGGGGAGCTAATTAACTAGAAGTATGGAAATAAGAAGATAGGTATGGATCCAAGGTAGAATGTGTCCATGATTTTTGGGTAATTTTTGATTTTGATATGACCTCAAACTTTTCATTCTTTGTTTATAAGCTTTTGTATATTATTTTTTTCTGAACCATTTGAAAGTAAGGTGTAGACATCCCGCCCTTTTATCTCTAAATACATCAGTGTGTATTTCCTAAAAAAGGCATTCTTGTATATAACTATGGCATAATTATCAAAGTTGGAAAATTAAACATTGATACAATAATATGAAACTACTGTCCATATTTCAATTTTGTCAATGGTCAAAATACATGATAGCTAATTTTCCCCAGGCCAGTTTCCAATCCAGGATCACATATTATGGTTAGTTGTCATGTCTCCTTAGTGTCTTTCATCCGGAACAGTTTCTCAGACTTTCTTCGTTTTTTTCTTTACCTGAATATTTTTTTAAGAATTCAGGTCAGTGATTTGGTAGATGGTCCCTCAATTTGGATTTATCCCATGTTCCTCATGGTTAGATTTAGGTTATGCATCTTTAAGCAGAATACTACAGAAGTGATGTGTTATTCTTTTCAGTGCTTTATATCAGGATGCACACAATATCAATTGTCCCAGTTGTGATGTTAATTTTGACTATTTGGTTTTGGTGGTTTCAAAATCTACTAAATTTCTCCAGTATAGAGTTACTGTCTTCTTCCCATTGTAATTAGCACATAATCTGTAAACAGATACTTTAAGTCTGTATAAATATCTTGTTTTTCATCAAACTTTTGCTCACTAATTTTAGAACCCATTGATTTTCTTTTTTTCCTTTTTAAATTTTAAATTTTAAATTTTTTTCATTTTTTAAATTTTAATTCAATTAATTCACATATAATGTCTTATATTGGTTTCAAAGGTACCCATTGATTTTCTAACTCCAGTGTTCTTTCTGTGTTTATTGGTTGGTATTGTAGTGTTAAGAAAGAGCCTTACCTTTTCTACCATTTATTTATTTATTCATATATTTATATCAGCATGCATGTATGGATTTTTAATTTTATTCAGATCTATCTATCATCTATCTAAAACCACGAATTCATATGAATACTTCCAATTATAATTGAATGCCACAGAGTTCATTTTGTCTTTTCCCCTTTCCATATTGTGACTCTGTTCTTTAATAGTGAGAAAACTGGCTCCCATTATTCTCATGACATCTTTTTACATGTCCCCTTACTGACTCGTGTGGCCATGTCAGGTGCAGATAGCAACTCAGCTCTAGGGAGAAGGACAGAGTTTTCCAGAATTTACCATGTGAAAGGCCCCAATTCCTTTCTAGTGCTTTTATGAAGCAGGAGATGGAATTGACTGTGCCATCACTGTGCACATGTCCAACACTGCCTTGGCATCTTATGTGCCTTCATGATCTTAAAATGTTGGGACTGGATATCAGGAGCCAGACTGGAAAGCAGATCTTGGTGAGCCAGCTATAGAAAAGAGCCCTGCACAATGAGATGGATGTTCTTGAAAGGCAAACAGCTGGAGTCAGAAGGCCAAAGGACTGATGACTTTCAATATCCCTTTAGGGCCTGAATTTCTGCAAAAATGTGTGTAGGAAAATCAGGCAGTATCTCCCAGGCTCATGTTCTTCACCATCATCTGCAGCCGATTGGCATATTCCCTGTGCCACCTAACACCTTGGCTACTTAGTTCTTTGCCATATAATCTGTAATCATCTTTTCTTCCATCCCACTTTGGCCATCCACTGCTATCAGTATACCTTGGCCTTTTCCTCATCTATAATTGCTACTGAAAATGCTTTACCTCCAAAATCATAGATTCAGACATCATACTCTTTGATTGTATCCTCTTTTTCTTTCACCTGTGCCTGTATATTACAGCAGGTCTTCCTGTCTACTGACTTCTGCTTTCTTCCAACCCAGAAACCCTTGTTTTGTGTCCATTTAGATTCCATAATCCATCATTTGAACACATTCTTATTTCTGACTTTCTAGTCAAACACATCTACAAAATCCAAATTCTGGACGATCCTAACTCTTGACTTTCTCTGTGCCTGCACTTAAATAGCCAAGTATCATAGCAGAAAGTCATGCAGCAAGGTATATTGTTTTCATTATAAATTCATGTTTCTCTTCTTAAAGTGCCCTTTACCACTGTCCTTTAGGTCCATTATACTTCATTGGTTAGTTCACTTTCTACAACTCATACTTCAAAGATTCTCCATGCTCCTTCAATCTTCAATGTTCTTCTTTTTCTCTGTTTTTACTATTACCATTCTGCTCCAAACCACCATCAACTTCCACTGGAACTATTGCAATTGTCTTTTTTTAAGGTAATTTTTTAAAAGCCATTTTAGGTTCACAACAAAATTGAATAGGAAGTACAGCGTTCCCATATGCCCACTGCCCAAACTACATGCATGGCCTCCCCCACTATCAACATCCTGAACCAGAGTGGTACATTTGTCATAGCTGATTAACATACATTGATACATCATTATCACCCTAAGTCTGTAGTTTACTTTAGGGTTCACTCTTGGTTTTGTATGTTCTGTGGGTTTTTAGAAATGTATAATGACATGTATCTATCATAAGAGTAACATGCAGAATAGTTTCAACGCCCTAAACATCCTCTGTGCTCCACTTACTCATACCTCCCTCTCCCTAGTGCCTGACAACCACTGGCAATTGTCTTTCAACTACTCTTTCCACATCTACTTTTATCACTCTCAAATCTTTTCTCCACTTTGCAAAGTGGTCTTTTCCAAAATAGAATCTGATCTTGTCAGTTTTCTACCTAAATCTCTTTAAATAGATTCCTATTGCTCTTTTCTTTGTGTGAAGATTTTAAATTACAGGTTCAATTTCTGGAATAGATAGTGGACTATTTAAACCTTTTACTTCCTTTTGTACCACTTTTGGTAAGTTATGGCTTAAAAGAAGATTGTCCATTTCACATATGCTGTGAAACTCACCGGCACAAAGATGTACCTAATAAGCTCATGCAATCTTTTTTTTTTTTAAGATTTTATTTATTTATTTGAGAGAGAGAGAATGAGAGATAGAAAGCACGAGAGGGAAGAGGGTCAGAGGGAGAAGCAGACTCCCCATGGAGCAGGGAGCCTGATGTGGGACTCGATCCCGGGACTCCAGGATCATGACCTGAGCCGAAGGCAGTCACTCAACCAACTGAGCCACCCAGGCGCCCTCTCATGCAATCTTCTAAGTAGCCTTAGGATCTCTAGTGATGCCCCCTTTTCATTCTTGATATTGATAGTTTGTGTTTTCTCTTTCTTGATCAGTTTTGCTAGAGGACTATGGATTTTTAAAATCTTTTCCAAAGATCAACTTTTGGTTTTGTTGATTTTTCTTTAGTGTATGTGTGCTTTCTAGTTCATTGATTTATATTTTTACTATTTCCTCCTTTTCTGCTTTCTGTGGTTTTTTAAAAGGATTTTTTATTTATTCATTTGAGAGAGACAGAGAGCAAGCAAGAGCATGAGTGGGGGAAGGGGCAGAGGGAGAGGGAAAGGCAGACTCCCTGCTGAGCAAGGTGCCCAACACATGGGGCTCCATCCCAGGACCCCAGGATCATGACCTGAGCTGAAGGCAGACACTTAACTTATTGAGCCACCCAGGCGCCCTTACTTTCTATGTTTTTAATTTGTTGCTCTTTTTAATTTTTTAAGCTGGAAATCTTCCTTATTTTCTAATATAGTCACTTAAAGCTAGAACATTCCTTCTAAATACTGCTTCAGCTACATCCTGGAAGTCTTTCTTTTCTTTTTAAAAATTTTATTATGGAAAATAGCAAACATATACAAAAGAAACAGAATAATATAACCAAACACCATATGCCCATCACCCAGCTTCAAAATTTATCAACATTCTACCATTATTATTTCATCTCTAACTTGGTTATTATTGCTATTGTTATTATTTTGCAG